CGTGGTAGATCGGCTTACAAAAATGGCACACTTTGTGCCTTACAAGAAGACATCGTCCAGTGAAGTCACAGCAAGGCTCTTTCTCGATAATGTGTATCGATATCATGGACTACCAGATGATATCATATCAGATCGAGGAACCCAGTTCGTATCAAAGTTTTGGAGATCTCTCTTTGAGATACTGAAGGTGGATATCAAGCTTTCTTCGACTTTTCATCCTCAAACTGACGATCAAACGGAACGAGTGAACCAAGTCTTGGAACAATACTTACGATGCAACATCAACTATCAACAAGACGATTGGACCACATATCTGCCACTAGCCGAGTTTGCATATAATAACACCCTCCATGCATCGACTCAATACACACCATTCTTTTCCAACTATGGGTATCATCCAAAGCATGATTTATTGAGTCCATCAACAAATAACAATCTAGCAGCTGAAAGATTTGCGAAACAACTATCAAAGCTTCAAAATACGTTGAAGCTTCAATTACAATCCGCTCAAGAATCCTACAAGGCGTCTGCAGATAGATTTCGGAATCAAGCACCTACTTTCAAAATTGGAGATAAAGCATGGCTTCTTCGACGGAATATCAAGACCAAGTGACCATGTGATAAGTTGGACTATCGAAGATTGGGACCATTTATCATCCAAAAGCAAATCAATCCAGTGGTGTATTGTTTGGAATTACCGGCTTCTATGAAGGTACATCCAGTCTTTCATGTTTCTTTGTTGGAGCCTTATCGAGAGTCATCTTTTCTTGGAAGAGTGCAATATTTGCCACCTAGTATTGAGATCAAGAACCACGAGGAATACGAGGTTGAAAAGGTGCTGGATTCTCGGCGAAGGTGGGGCAAGTTGGAGTATCTTGTTCATTGGTGCGGCTACGACATTAATGAGCGAACGTGGGAGCCAGCTGAAAATCTCACCAATGCGCCGCAAAAGGTACAGGAGTTTCATCAACAACATCCTCATAAACCTAAGCCGGTTCGACAATAGCTTCTTTTTGAAGCTTGCTCACCCAAGAATATAAGAAAGAGAGAGAGCACCACCAAAATTCGTAGTTGATGTAGTTATTTTCTCCAAGATAAAATAGAATTTTTTCAGTAGCCATAGTTTGGTCTTCTGATATGGATAGCCAAGAGATAGATATTATGTCAGTCAGATTATCTCAACCAACTAGTTCACGAAGGCGACCCCGAGATGAAGAACCACTTGTACTATGACGACGACGGAGGATACCAAGTAACCGATCACTGGTGATTGTATTTGAGTCCGAGCCTGCTTACGATGGTCAACCAGAAGGCATATTTGCAGGACAATTTCACAATGAAGACACAGAAGTTCATGCTTGGTCAGAAGTTGAAGGAGTGGGCCACTACCGTTGGCTTCAAGGGCCGATGAATCACTTACCTCATGAACAACAGTTGGAGTTCATAGCAGACGTTATGCGACAGATCTTCATTTTCTTGCATTGGTACTGATTGACAACAACATTGCTTCTCAGAGACCTCGAAGCTAAAGGAGGGGGTGATGTTAGGGACATAGTCCTTAGAACCTTCTAGAGACAAGCTTCTAAAACCTTCTAGAGACAAGTTTCTAGAACCTTCTAGAAGCAAGTCTCTGGAACCTTCTAGAAGCTTCTTAGTTGGTAGAAGATGTTGGGGACATAGTCCTTAGAACCTTCTAGAGATAAGTTTCTAGAACCTTCTAGAAGCAAGTGTCTGGAACCTTCTAGAAGCTTCCTAGTTGGTAGAAGTTACTTGAGAAGCTTCTTAAATAGGAGTATATATTGGAATCGAGGCTGAAGAGTTCTTCAGTCTCGACAACACATCTCTTGGAGCTCTAGCTCACCTCTTTGGTGTTGTTCTTGTATTCATCTGATTAATCTAGTTCTTGCCAGTTCTTCTTGAACTTCTTGGTAGATATCAAGTCTGTATTCTGTGTCCGTGACATGTGGTTGAAATTTTAGAAATGTCTAGATGGTTGAGTATGCCAAGAGCATGTGAAAATTTGTATTAATCTAACAGTGTGGATAGAGGATATTTGGTCATTAGTGTAAAGAGATATCAAAAGTCGGCATATTGGGGTTGTTTAGGATTTCTATAATATCTGGAGATTTATCGACTGAAATAAGGTGAATTTTAATTTGTTAAGTTGAGGACTTAATGGCGGAGCTATACACAAAGTTGAATGAGAATTAACGGTTGGAAAAGGAGAAATTGCAATTCAAAGTTCGTCATCAATTTTCTAGGCGACGGTCAAGAGACATCAGTGTGGATTTATAGTGTTTTCTTGCAATCTATCTGTTAAATTAGATTGAAACTTCTTGAGCATTTAAAAGACTTGCAAAGACACTAGTGGTAGAAGTTTTATAACAATCGGACGATCAAATTGAGAATTACAGCTTGCCGAAGCTCGCAGTCTAGGTTTAGGGTTTAAAAATTAAAAATTAAAAATAAATAAATAAATAAATAAATAAATAAATAAATAAATAAATAAATAAATAAATAAATAAATAAATAAATAAATAAATAAATAAATAAATAAATAAATAATAAAATAAAATAAAATAAAATAAAATAATACTTATAAAAATAAAATAAAATAAAACTAACAAATAACAAAAGAATTTGTGCTTATAATATCTTGAAGTTATTAAAAATAATGTTTCTAAGCACTTTGTATTGGGATTAAGCTTTTACATTGAAATCTGAAATAGTTTGTATTTAGATGGTTGAAACCCACTAGACTACTTGAATACTTACAAAACATCGTTTTATCTTCCACAGCCAGATGCCCGATGCGTTCTCAAGCAAGATAGCACGTAATACGACAATGTATTCAAAATATTTCATATATGAGCAAAAAATCAAATAAGTTACAAACTCAAAGTTCTGTGCTCCAATCAAAGAAGAAAATACCTCTCTTCTAATTTTGATCAATATTTGGGAATTCATGGTATTCAATGTCAACTTCAACTTATCATGGCATATATTCCTTATTAAAATGGCATTGGAAATGAAAAAAACCATACTCTGCTCAATGCTAGTAGATATATACTCTATGAAGCTAAATTATCAAAACCATACTAAGACAAAGTTGTTATATGAACTACATATCTTCAAAATCATTGTTCTATTAAAAAGATCTCCAATGACAAAATTTATTTTAAATTATGGTATAATCAAAAATTGAATATTACTTACCTTTGAGTCTTTGAAAGTCAATGTTTTATAAAGATTTTGAATCTGCTTTGTATTAAACTTCACAATAAAACTTATGAATGTATATTGCTTGGTTATACCTTCTTTAGTAAAAGATATAAGATTCAAAGAATCACCAATGAAGTGCTTCTTCTTTCAAAAGATGTTGTATTTCAGGAAGAGCATGTGATTTATTCTCATTCTAATACATATCTTTTCAATCTTGCTAATAAAAGTATTTGAGTAGATTTGTATATTTTTCAACTTATGTGCTCTTCTATTTTGAAGCCTACATACATTGACTATGGACCAATGTTTCTTATTTGTCCATTGTCTCCGTCCACTATGGTTGATCTCAATGGTCAATCTTGTTTTTTCTTAGTCCAAGTTTTTGTTCTCCTACTTATTGTTCCTTTTGATCCTCCTCAAATTCCTTTTGGCAACCTTGACATTCCTTTAGCAAAGCTTCCTTCTCACCACCTTGGCAATCTTTTTGCAAAGCATCCTTTTAATAGCATTGAAATCCCTTCTTCTTTGAATGCTCTTGATAGTCATGAGTTAATCATTAATGATTCATATGGTATGCAAGTTGTTCTACTTTTTGCACTAGGTGATACTAGCTCTTTTCTATTATCATCTATACATTGCTTGAATTCCATAGATCTCTTCCAACTATCTCTTTTAAAATCATTTGTGACTTGAATCTCAAAATCATTTGTGACTACATCCAAGGTTTGTTTTGCATGTCTCAATTGCATTACATCACCCAAAAATTTGAGAAATTGGATTTTTTGAGCCCAAGCCTGTAACCACTCATCTCGCCCTGGAAATTAAGCTTTCTTCTTTGAATTGTCCAATCATCAAGGATGCCCCTCGCTAACCAAATGAATTCTCATATGCTAACACAGTAGGGTCCTTGAATTAGGCCACAATTAGCATGTGGCCCAACCTTTCTTTTGTGACCACTATGTTGAACTAATATATGCATGCTCTGGGCCTGACCCATTTGCAGGCCCATAAGCATGCCTTCCATTACTTACAGGGCTTGGTGGACTATTATCTTGAGTATTGCCAAGATTTGCAATCTCCTGCACCATTATATGGATTCTTGACTCAAATTGGATTGGCGACCTGGATGAATGGCACTCTACCTCCAGATACTCTTTACTATTGTTGAAATGTGTGGTCAACTACAGCTCATCTCATTAAAGATCTATTGCGATCTCCAGCACAGAGGCGGAGTACATGGCCATGGCCACTGCTGAGCTGGCGTGGCTACAACATCTACTGCATGATCTCTCTCTGTTTGAAACCCTAACTACACCTATGGTTATCTATTGCGACAATCAGTCGGCTCTTGCCCTCGTGGACACCACGAAATTCCATTCCAGAACAAAGCATATCGACATTCGACATCACTTCATTCGGCAATTATCCGCACTCAACAAAGTCTTGTTTCGATACTGTTCCACACATGATATAATGACAAATTTATTTACGAAATTGTTGTGTGGACCGAAGCTCGCCTAGCACCTGCCATTACTAGGTTTGCTTGGATGAGCAACCGCAGCCTCACCACGATATGGTTTAGAGGGTGTATTAGAACAGTTAGTTTGTGAACCATAATTGTAGAAGTAACCGTTTGAAGCAACGGCAGGAACTCATCCAGCGAGGCATCGCGACGTTCCAGTTGCACCACCCTCGCTGGATCAATCATGTATAAACACAGTGTTTACTGTGTATTAACTTGAATTATTATTTATAAAATTATCCTATGATTCTAATAGTGTGGCTATGGAAGATGTAATAAGAGTGCACACTTCCACAGCTTTAGTGCACGTCATCTAGCATATACGATTCAAGCAAGTAGACATTTTTTAAGTAAAGTGTATCAGTGCGACCCTTCTACGGAATCTAAACATGCCTGTCAATGCCACCAGCAGGCTCGTCCTGGTACATCAAATTGTGATCGAGTTGAGACCTCCTCCTGATAATCAACGTAGAGCACGAGGACGAAGAAAAAAGAAGCCATCATTAAGTATTGGAATCATGTAAGGCTTTACAGAATTTCCTCCACCTGCTTTGGTTCTTAAGGAAAGAACTCTAATGATCTAGTAAAGACAAAAAATCACATGATGAAGTACTCGAGCAAGGCATGGGTTGGCGTTGCCAGAAATTATCTTCAGCCGACTACTACTGTCTAGCTCTAAATTAGTACTGGATCCAAAGGACAAGTTGTTCTTGATGTCTCAGTGCAGTGGTGAAACAACAAAAACGCCTTCTTTTAAAGGAACACAAGATGGTCGAAGAATTTGCAATGATATAAATCTCTGATAACACACCACAACACGCTTAGTAGATGTTTCAAGTAGCAAAACATAGTCTTTACTGAAAGATACATCACATGTGCCATTCAAAAGAAGAAATACTGCATAAACAATCTGTCTTCACACCAAACAGACATTGTAGTAGGAGGAATGTCCAGCAAGTTCAGAATGATTTCATTTATGATTACCTGCACCAAAAAAAACTGCTTCCCTCAATGTCAACTGAGCTAGCGGGAACACTGGCCTGCACCCCGTTTATGGAGTATTTTAGCATGCGGGCGGACAATTGTACCCCCACTATGAGTACCCCACATGAGCACACCCAAGTCGTGAAACTTTGCGCGTATGTACACATTGCTTGCCTCGGCTCTATCAGCAGGAACATAATCTCAGACGTAACAGATGTTAAACATGAGTAGACAAATACGTGATCACTGCCATAGACTTAACACATGCGCCTGTCCGCATGAGCTAGTAATCATCGGTTCGAGGTTTCTCATGCCTTGGTGACAGAAGTCACATCGATTGACAACAGGCACATTGTCAATTATACAAGATCCTGTGAGATAATGTTTCGCTCGTCCCGTGAGAGAATGTGAATGCTCAGGCTCCCTGCTATACCCACAGTCCCCTCCTGCGAGCTTCCTTCAGGTAAGGTAGTCTATACTTGACCTGGATGGATGCAGTGGACGTTGGTGTGGGTGTATCGTTCCTTCATTGAATAAGATCCTACAACTTGTCGCCTTCTGATAATTGGGGTGACTTGTTCCAAACACTGGTTAATCGTGTCATACCTCTCCCTCCCCACGCCGAAACCCCTGCGCATCTCTCACTACTACGCATGCCCACACGTTGAATTGCTGCTCTGTTCCGAGCGAAAGGTGTTGCGGCTGGAGTAGCGGGTAGAGATCTCATTCTGCTCCGTGTGTTCCCTCATAAGATAGTTAGCTGTCTCAACCCATTCGGAGCACGGAGTTGGCTTGTGAGGACGTGGTGGGATCAAGCCGTGAGCGCAGCGAGTTCACTCTGACGGTTCGGATTAACTAAAACGTGGCCTGCAGTACATGCGTCGGGAAGGGTTTGACGGATTGGATCAACAGTTGTTTCGTTTCTAGTGCTGTTATCGGTAAGGATTTGATGGATTCAATCGACAGTTGCTTCGTTTCCAGTGAAAGTGTCGGTAAGGGTTTGTATCAAGGTTTAATCAGCCTCATATCTTTCTGCACTTCGGTGAGCAGTTGCATCACTTGGCTCTGCACTCTCTGTCTTTCTCTTGGTTTTATGTTCTTGGTTGCTCCGAATGGCAATCCGTTTGATTTTTGAAGATTTTCTCGCTATTGTTTTCTGATTGGCCGTGATGACCTTTGTGCCGTTCGATGCCTATGTCGCAGGCTACGTGAAAGAGTCACACCTGCTGCAAGTCACTGTTTACTATGTCTGTGCATGGCTATGTCGTCTTGCGAATGCTTCGGCCATAACTCATTGCACGCACACATGTTGGACGGGATGTGGTATATTGTGTTATTCCGCAATGATGTGATTTGCAGACGTAGGGAACTGAAGGTTGAGAAAGGTGATGGGTGATGGCGTGTTGTCGGTGTTGATTGATCATTAACCAGGAGCAGTAGATTGTGGAGAAATAAAATTGGTGTTAAGATGTCATAATGGAAGAACAAATCAAAGCAACTTTTAGAGAATTACATTTGGATTTAAAGTGCTGTTGTGATGTTGCAATTGATATTCTTTCAAAATACTATGAAGACAAATTTGAAAGTATTACATCATCTGTTTTTTATGCTGCAACATTTCATGGTGTGGAAGATGAAAAAATCATGCAGCTTCTAAAAGAAAATCTTTACACTTGTGAATTAGCAAAGCAACTCTTGAAAAAAATTGAGGGCTTTGATTATAGTTAGGGTAGAGAATTAGATGCTTTGGAACCTTAAATTAATATAAAAAGTCTACAAATTATAAAACACATAACTGGAGGATCTTGTGGAGAAGTCTATAAACCTAAATGGTTGAAACTTTTAAGTGCAACTAAAATAATGAAAATTCCATATGATAATTTTTTTATTAAAGACATAAGCAGTTTAGATGGTCTTACTCATCCAAACCTCATTAAATATTTTTGTGCTTTGAAAGACAATGCTAATATTTATCAAATTTGTAGAAAAAAAGATATTAAGATGATTCAATAACATGTCTTTAAATTGATTGATTTTGAAATGTTAAATATTAAGGTTAGAAGAAAACCAACAACTGAAACGAATAATATGTATGGAACTATTAAATATATTTCTCTTGAGATACATATTCAAAAATATGTTTTTGAAGCAAATGTTAATTCCTTTGCAATGGTATGTTTTAAGATTCTTACCAAAAAAGAACCATTTGATGGTATTAAAACAAAAAAGAAAATATCACAAAAAACTAAAAATAACAAAAGACCAAAATTACCTCCAAATCAGAAAAGATTGACTTAATTGATCAAAGGTTGTTTGAATAAAGATCCTTCACTATGGCCAATATTTCTAGATATTTTTGAAAGATTCATTATTATAAAGAGAGAGATTTTGTATAAAAATTGAGGTATTAATGAATTATTTTTAGATACATCCAAAAGAAATGTCCATAAAAAGGTACTTCTTTAACTTATAGATAATGATTTGCTACTTATAAAGTGTAGACTATTTATTTTGTTAGTTAAAAAATAAAATATTTTTTAAGTTAATAATTTTTATTATTTTTTTTTATGATGATTAGATTACAGAGTGTATTATTATATATTAGATCTATTTTTAATTCTTTTATGAATGCAATATTTTTTTACTAATCTATAATTTTGATTCTTTATGTAAGTTAGTCTACATGAAGAAAAGTTGTTGGAAAGAAAAAAATACTAATTAGAAATAACACAATTATATAAAAACAAAACATAAGCATTATATCTTTTTGGTATGGATGGAATTAGAAAGACAACATTAACAAAGATTGCATTTAATGATGTAAATCATATATATGATGCTTCATGTTTTATTGATAATATTAATTATTATAATGGTAATTATAAAAAATAGTGACATTTAAAAAATATTCAAAGTTGTAAAAAAGATAAGAAATTGGAAGAAGCAAAAAAATTATTGAAATCACTTTTTTTTTAAATAAAACTATCTTGGTTTCAGATGATATTAAGAATAAAAATCAAATGAATTATATAGATTTTATTAATATATTACATACTAGCAATAATAGCATATTAATTGTAGCAACATGAGATTGGAAATCAATAGACCATTTTTCTATTAAGTTTGATAAGATGGACATTGAAGAAGTTGACAAAGGTTTAAGTTTATGATTGTTTGTCACTTATTCTTTTCAATACTAAGATAAATTGACTTCTAAGCTTATGGAAGTTGGAAAAAGAATTGTGAAAGCTTATAATGACTTCTCTTTAAGTTTAAAAGCATGGATGTATTTTTAAAAGAAGAAAAGAAATTAAGATGTTGGAAGCAAGATTTACAAAGATTAGGGGAAAAAAAAACAAAAACAAAACAAAACAAAACAAAACAAAAATTAAAATTAAAATTAAAATTAAATGAAGAAAATAGTGACTATAAGATTTAGAATAATTTAAGAGTAAGCTTTGATATTTTGAGTATTATAGAAATAAATATATTTTTAGACATAAGTTATTTTTTGTAGTATATTTTTTAATAGCATGTTAATAGAAAGAAAATTTTAGTTTTAGAATAAAATAAAAATATTATTTAAAATTAAATATAAAATAAATATTAGAAATATTAATTTATAAATCATTAATGAAAATAAAAATTCATGAAATATAAGATTTTATGATCAATTAAGAGATATGGATTAAAAGATTTTTGAAACTAAAGTAAAATAAAAAGCTACACAAATTTGAGATATAAATATTAAATTAATTAATAAATTTTTAACAAAGATATGCTATTTAACTTATCCAAATAATATGTATATAAATAATAAACCTAAGAAGGTATATTCAAATATAAAAAATATAAAATTTGATAATATTTAGGTTATATAAAGTTTTTAAATTCATAATAAAATAGTGAAATAAATAAATTTTAATTGTAGTTTTGATGGGAAAAAATCTCAATATTCAAATCTTTAATTTTTTTTATATCTTGTTATTTGAAAGTTTGAAAGATTATTTTATAGCATTTAAAGCAATAATATAGTTAATAAAATTAGATGTTCTTGTTTTTCATCTCTTTGGTTTTTGAGTTTTTGTATTAATGCAAAATAAAATAAAAATATATATCAAAATACTACATACTTTTTTATATTAATAATATATTACATTAAATTTTATTATAATATTATACTAATTTTAAAATATTTAAAATATTTTTTTTAGTAAATATAAATATATTTTTTTTAATTCAAGCATTTCTCATACTAAATAAAAACTATTTGTAGACAAGGATTAAGAGTTTGAGAATCTTACAATTAAAAAGAAAAGAAAAGAAAAGAAAATCTTCAAAAAACTTTTATGGTCATTTTTTAATGCTAAAAGCTTATTAAAACTTGAATTAAGAAGATGTTCTAAAATTTAAAAAATTACCAAAAATTATATTTTTTATAAGTTCAATAAAAGAGCTTAATTTAGAATCATATTTAAATTTGGAAAAAATACCAATGGCATATTTAGATTCAGTACCTTTGAAAAAAATTAATATTAATGAATATAATAATTTATTTTATATTTTTCATAAGAATCAAAATATCATAATTATTATTTTGATTTTTCTAAAAGCATATATTTATATTCTTTTAAACCACCAAACTACCTAAAATCAAGATATAGATTAAATCATCTTGAATCTTTAAATGTATTTAAAATGGATATATACTTGGGCTTTACATCATTGAAAATTCAATTAAAAGATTGTATATCATTCATTCAATTTGATATGATATCAAGGACATGAATCTCAAAAAACAAATCTCAATACACTCTTGTGTCACTTGAAAAGACTAAAAAATTACTCAAAGATGGTAATGTATTAAACTAGAATGGCTATTGCTAAAGACAAAAAGATTAGAAAGTCTTGAAACAAGACAAAGAACTAAAAAGACATTGACAAGAGTGAAGAAGGCTTTACTCTTGCCTCCATATATACTCTCTAATTAAAGCTACGCGGTGATATTATATAGAACTTCTAAAACATATTGTCTTTGCTAGTGTCAAGAACAAAGACTCGATGAGGAAAAATATACACCAAACGGCTATCTCGATATAATAAGTCAAAATATAAACAAGTAGGTATATTAAAAGGAAACTGGAATGGCTATTGCCACAAGACAAGAAACTAAAGACTCTTGAACCTGAACTAGAAGCAAGAAAGGAGTTGACAAGAGTGAAGAAGCCTTCACTCTTGTCTCTATATATACTATCTAACTAGGGGCTACGTGGCGACGTTCTATAGGACCTCCAATATGTGTTGACTTTGTAGGACACATGCCTTGACTTACAAGGCAAGTTTTTCTACGTGTGGGCCACATAGTTAGCTTGATCTTCAAGCTAACAACATGTGTGGCACATGGCCAACTTGTTGACCACGTTTCTAATCCAAAAAGTCAATTAAAGACACCTATGAAGTCAAAGCAGCATCTAAGAAGTTTCTAGGAAGCTTCTATATTAAATATTATACAATTAACTTACTTTTATCTACTTTTACTTACTTCTACCTATTTTTATATGTAATTATTAGCTTACATGATTATGGCCGTGACATTACCCCCCCTTCTAGAGACGAGTTCCACGAGGAGCGGTCATCATATGTTGAGGAAATCTATGATGCGACGAATTATATTCGCCACATACTCTGAGCTCTGTTCTCTTCGAAGATGATTGATAGGGCCTCTCAACCATCGGTAGTGTCCCATACCAGGGCGGGAAGACCACCCAGTTATTTGATCATTATTGAGGCCTTCATAACTTCCTTCGAATAGAATATTCGGAACACCATCAGGAGTTTTTCCTACCTCTAGCAAAATCACCAAACATCGAGAGTCCCTTCCCAAATCGTGATACCAAACGCGTTGTATCTCACCATCTGTTCGAGGAAGAACATGTCGTTCTTGAAGATCTTCATCTCGATTGCGTCGTCTTGAAGGTTGTGACAATCGTAATGTCTCATCCGACAGGTCAGCAAACGAAGGTTCTTGAGTTGAATCCGCTGGTTGTTGGCTCTCCATCTAATTAGCGTCACAAATGCAAAGAAGTTACAAACAAGGATAGGAAATTGAATGTTATCTTGCCTCAATCTTGTCTCTTTTATAAGAGAGATTTTCATCTTGGTTTTGATGGATGTTGTTGATGAAAAACTTTGACTTTAGTTGATGCATTTGCTAGATTCCTGGATGGCTCCCATGTGCGTTCACTAATACCATATCCGCGCCAATGAACAAGATATTTCAGCTTATTTTGGCGCCGCCTTGAGTCTAATATCTCTTCCACCTCAAATTCTTCATTATTATCTACTTCTATAGGAGGCGGTGGCATTTGTCTTCTTCCTTGTATATCCACTGTCTTATATGGTTCAAGAAGAGATACGTGGAATACAGGATGGATCTTCATTGACTCTGGTAGATGTAACCGATATGCAACTGGGTTGATCTGTTCAGAAACAGAAAAGGGGCCAAGCCTACGATAGTCCAACTAGTCACAAGATCGAGTAGTCTTGATATCGCAACGAAGTAGCCATACCTTATCACCCACGTTGATCTGTGGTTG